AATACCATCATAATGATAATAATCAGCATTACATTTTATCTGCATATGCATCACCAACACCGTCATCACCACCACCGTCACCGTCATCATCATCAGCATCAGCATCATCATCCTACTCGTCAACATCATCACCAACAACCTAGAAACATTGTCATACTCATCATCGTCAAGATCCTCATCCGCATGCTCATTACCATCCTGATCACCATAATCATCGCCTCCTTCACCAACAGAGCTTCATCGTCATCGTCGTCGTTCTCATCATCATCAACATCATCACCACAATCATCATCATAATCACCGTCATAATCAGGATCGTCGCAATCGTCATCCCAAACACCCTCACGAATCATTAACATAATCATCCTCACCACCACCATCATTATCATTATCATTATCATTATCATTATCATCAACATCACCATCGCCATCGCCATCATCATCATCATCATCATCATCATCATCATCATCATCATCATCATCATCATACTCATACTCATCATCATCATCATCATCATCATCATCATACTTACCGTCATAATCATCATCACTATCAACAACCACATCAAAATTCGCCGGCCCAACGGGCCAAAGGCGTGCTGAAATCTCCAGTCACTGGTTAACAATATTTATAATTCGCACGCGCGGGGCCGCCCCTGGGGGTCCCTGGACGAACAAAAAGACGCAAATTCCGGCAAGGTGCCGGCAAAATCTCGGGCAAGTCCCAGGCAGGTCACGGGCAGGTCCCGGCCAGGTCCCAGCAGGCTCCCAAGAGCGCTCCAGGAGCGCTTCAAGTGGCCTCCAAGAGAGCTCAACATGATCCGAAACGGTCCAAGAGCGATCCAAGACGCCAAAGATTGTCTCCAGACAGCCCAAAGCGACTCCAAGACGCCCCAAGAGGCCTCCCAGAGACGGCCCACAGAGGCAGAAATTAGTGATTTCGCAAAAAAATAAACAATTTTTGGCGTTCTCGTTTTTTTCGGCTCACCGGCGCTCCAAGACGGACCAAGAGGCTTCCAAGACCGCCCCAAGACGGCCCACGACAAGAGAGACCCCAAGACGGCCCAAGATGGCCCCAAGACAGCCCAAAAGGCGCCAAAGACGGCCCAAGAGTTGTAACAACGAATCCTTAGATCATCAATATGGGAGAGAAAAACAAGAAAAAACAGTTCTCCAGTATCGAAAAAATGTAGAACATAATATGTTAAGTCGTAAAAATAGTTTCAAACTAGTTTCAAGTAGGAAATCGTTTTCTCAACGTAGACATAACAATTCAATGTCAATTTGCGGGTTGATCAGGACGCGGCTTGCGTATGTGTCGCATTGCAGCCATCATTGCCGCGGCCATCCCGGGCGCGTTGCGCTGCGCCGCATTGCTTGAGGTTCGCAGGCGCGGGGCCGCGCTGCGCGAAACAAGCGCGTAGCGTTTGGGGCCATGAATGCACGGTCGCAACGCCAGCGTCTTCTTGTTGTTGTCTAGAGGGTGGCCCGCGGATTCCATAGCGCGCGGCGCTTTCTGCTGGTTGCAGCTTTTTGATCGGGGCCGAGCAAGTGACGGAGCCCCGCCCGCCAGGCCAGCGCGCAATTAAGATGGGCGCATCTGGAACCTTGCGCGGGGGCGGGGAAATTATTTCGCCGATTGAGAAAGCGATTTCGGGGTGGACTCGCCATGGGGCCGCCAGGGCCCTCTGGGGGGAGCGCCGCGACCCGCCCCTCTGGGGGGACCGCCCGCGTCCGGGTCCGGATTTGCAAAACGCGCTGGCGCGGCCGGGCCCCAATTTGCATGCGACGGCGTGGCCGGGCCCGGACGGGCAAAACGCTCGGGCTCGGCCGGGCCCAGATTTGCAAAGCGTGCCGGCGCGGCCCCGCCTGATAATAAAACGCGCCATCGCGGCCGGGACAGATTCGTAAAGCGCGCCGGCGCCGCCTGGCCCGGAACTCCCGCGCGCGGCGCCTCCAGGCGCCGGCGGGCCGCCGGCGGTGGGGGGGGAACAAAAAACTACTTTAAAGATACTTCAAAACTACTCTAAAGCTACTTTAAAGCTATCTCCCGGGACTGCCACAAGGCCGCCTGAGGGGGGGCAAAAAAAATGTGACTCCCCGGAGCTAGACGAGCTGTGGAAGCTACCATCTGCGATCTGAAAGCCAGGAAGAGCTGCACGAAACCTAGGAAAACCGACCTTCAGCTACGAAAAGCTAGTGCAAGCTAGAAAAAGCTAGAACAAACTATCTCGATGATTTAAAACAAAACTATAGCGGCCTTCCTTTTCGGCTCGCCGGGGCGCCCCCTGGGCCCGCCGGCGGGTCGATGCAGGGGTTTGGCCGGGGGCCCCGCGGCGGGCCCGCTGGCGGCTGCGCACCTCCGGCGGCCGCGGGGTCCGCTGGGGCCCGCGCGGCCGGCTTGGATACGCAAAACGCGCCGGCGCGGCCCCAGCCCGATTTGGGAAGCGCGCCGGGGCGGCCAGGTCCAACTAAACAATGGCGCGCTGGCGCGGCCACGGCCGACAATGAAACGCTCCGGCGCGGCCGGGCCCGAGTGCGCGACGCGCGCCGGCGCGGCCGGGCCCAGCGCGAGCGATGGGCACGGGGGGAGGGGGGGACAAGAAGAAGAAGAAGAAGAAGAAGAAGAAGAAGAAGAGAGATGAGGAGGAGGAGGAGGAGGAAGAGGAGGAGGAGGAGGAGAAGGAGAGGAGAAGGACGAGGAGGAGGAGGAGGAGGAGGAGGAGGAGCAGGAGCAGGAGGAGGAGGAGGAGGAGGATGAGGAGGAGGAGGAGGAGGAGGAGGAGGAGGAGGAAGGGGACGGGGGATGAGGAGGAGGAGGAAGGGGCTGGGGGATGGGGAGGAGGGAAAGGGGCGAGCAGCGAGCAGGAGGAGGAGGGGGCGGGGGCGGCGGATGAAGACAACGACGGCGAATGGGAAGAGGCGGGAGAGGCGGGCAAGGAGTTCGCGGCAGGAGAAGGCGCCGCCGCGGCACGGCGAGATGGGCGCGCGACGGGTAAAAGGGGGGGAGGTCGGGCGAAAGGGGGGGATGAGGAGGAGGAGGGGGCGAGACGAGGAAGGGGAAGGCTGGTGAAGGGGTTGAGGAGGTAGGGGGCCACGAGCGAAGTGAACCCCCCCCCCCCCCTCAAAAATCGTGGGGGTAGAAGTAGGATTCGCATGTGGCCCCCTAGGAGGGAAAGGTGGAAGAGGCATTGGGGTGTGTCGCGTGCAAAACCGCGCTGCGACCATCGCCGTGGCGTCGCGTGCAGAACCGGCGCGGCATTCATTGTTGATTTACTGGCGCGCGGGGCCGTGGTTTGATTCGGCGCGTCGCCGCCGCGGGTTCGACGTTGGCCCATCCCGCGCGCGCGTTCCCGTCGCTTCGGGAGCTTAGCAGAAGCTACTTTTAGCTACCTCGCGTATTGTTTCCTACTTGTTTCTATATCAGATCGCTGTCTTGACCCCCGACTGTCTAAGGCCGTCCGGTGCCACAGCCCAAGAGAGCCCCAAAACGGCCCCAAGAGGCCTTCAGGAGGCCTTCAGCCCCAAGAGGCCCCCAGGAGGACCCAAAAGGCCCCCAAGAGGCCCCAAGGGGCCCCAAGAGGCGCCCAAAGAAGCCCCAAGAGGCCCCCAATAGGCCCCAAGAGGCCCCAACACGGCCCCCAGGAGGCCTCAGAACTGCCACCCAAAGGCCCCTGAGAAGCCAACCGCGAGAGCCCCACCGACATCCGGGAGGCCTCTGACCCGCCACCCACCGCCTCCGAACAATGGCAGCCGCCCAACCGCACCGCATTGACAACAACACCCCGACAAACGACAGCGGCGAGGCAATATGGACCGGCGGAGTGAGCGAAGCGAATGAATAATCAACATCATTTTTTTCTTCTTCTTCTTCTTCATCATCATCATCATCATCTTCATCATCATCATCATCATCATCATCATCATCATCATCATCATCACCAACATACCCACTGCACTCGCAAAATCTGAGACACGAAAATTCGCACGTGATGACCTCCCGTACTGCGGTTGCGGCACCACGGCGCCGGGATCATGAACGAATTGTGAAAACTGATCACATGTGGTGCGACGCGAATTTCGACCCGGCATCAGTTCAATGTTCCGTAGAAGCGATGTTACGGACAGCTGCAATGCACATTATTTCACAGGCCATCTGCGCCTCTGTAGAATGTCGTATGTCATCGATCCATCTAATGTCTGATCGTCCCGCCCTGCGTGTCGCATGGTAGACCAGATCGCATTGTGGTGTCACTTGAATGGCTTGACGCCCCCATTCCTGGACGCCCCTGCTTCTTGATGTACGTGCCAACTGCAATTGTCTCTACCGCACTAGCGAAACCCAATCGCTGATCCGTAAGTTTGCGATCGCCGCCTCTGCCCTGTCAGTGATCCACTTGATCCAATCTACACAAGGTTCCAAATCATGATCCGCTGTCGCACTCCCATCATGCATGCAGGGAGTTGGACTGGTGCCAGACCCAATTGTTTCACAACTGATCCTTGGAGTTCGTTATGGCGACGCCATACCATCGTATCGGTTTGGACTGTAATGGATGCGCGAATAGGCTGAAATACAGCCATACACAGTATGCAACCTTTAGCCGCGTAATTGCAGGACCGCCCGCCTGCTAGTAACAAACGGTTCGCCCTTTACACTCGCACACGACTGCGCACGAAGCAACGCAACAAGCCAACGCCGAGCGGTTGCAAGCCCTCACGCACGTGACCCACTCCAACGCTCAACGGACGCTGGAATACCCATTGGTGTCTATAAAGAGGTCGATGCAGCCTGCAACTAGTGTTAGGTCGGGCATGTCCCCCTACAAGGGGGATTTTGGACGAAAGCTTCAACACACACTCAAACAACTCCCAAATAATCAAACATAATCAAAACATCGTCCCCAAACTATTGTGTTGACTACTTTTGTATATTCCTCCTGTAGAAAAACGTCCCCCGACTTAACACTGGCGAGACGTCCTGCCCTCGTTGCCATATACCGCCATCCAACACACGATCGTGCCGCCTTCGGGTTCATGCGCCTCGGTCCGCGAAGCCGCCTCACCTCACCCGTCGGCCCCTAAGATGTCCTACAGGAGACGTCCAGGAGATCACCAGGCTGCCCAACATATCGATGACCGACTGGGCCTCTTTGTTGGCTTGCCGCTGAGCCGCAAATCAAGGTAGCATCCCGCAAGCCCCCTGGACGGCCGTCGAACGGCAGGTGCGCCGACGGCTCCCGCCGCAGGTAGGAGGGGGGGGGCTGCGCGCGCGAAAAGGCGATGCGCCCATGCTGGCGCATCCCGCACGTCTGGCTGCAGGAGCGACAAAAGCAAGAGTAGGCGGAGGGGGCTTCGGCAAAGAAGGGCAAGACGGGCCGAGACGAGCGGCCCCGCTGGACCCCTCGACCCCATCCAGGACCGTCCGCAGGGTCCCGCTCTCCTCGCTGGTCCCTTCGCTGGTAGTTCGGGTGCCACTCCCCCCAAGAGAACGCCAGCGCCTGAAGAGTCAGCCGACGCCGGGGGGCTCACGGGGTCCCATCGCCCGCCCCTGCATCGCCAAGCCCCCCCACCCCATGGACCGAAGAGCAGGCCCCGTGTAGGTCCCCGATCCATTCCACTCGCTCGGACTCTGGCCTGAGGTCTTTAACACGGGCGTGCTCCTTACGATCAACCTTCAGGATTGGAGAGGGGGAGGGGTACGGAACGAACTCGTCAACTCCACTGCCACCTCGCAACTCGGACCTCCTAACCTCCTGCTCTTCCTCCGTCTCATTTCACACACCCTTCTCGTCCTTCCCCTCTGATCACCTTTCCTGACATGAACGGGAAGCGCGTGAAAGGACAGAGCTGCGCAAGAACGTGCAATATCATCACGATGAAATATAATGTAGGCGAGCTCTCCAAACGTCCACAGGGGATACCTACGGACACGCGCTCCCCGAACGTCCACAAGGAGAGTCCTGAATATCCTCGTCACTTCTCTGTACGCCTCCAATGTCGTCCGTCTATCCCTCACTTATCTGATGTGTTCGAAGGCCCGTCCGCAGGCACACACACGCACACAAACACAGGAGGAAGAGGCTTTGGTACGTTTTAGAAGGCCTCATCAAAAGCATTTGCAAGGGGGATGTCTCGAGCGAAACGCTTACCTATCTGATGTGTTCGAGTAGGAGGGGGCGAAGGAGATGGAAGAACGTGAGGAGCAGACGGCCCTCACGGCTGCCCAACAGAGCCTCACAATACGATCAGATACACGAACTTCGTATAGAGGAAGTATCATATACAAGGACCATCGTACACGAGGAAGATCATATACAACGAAGGCCATATTCAAACAAGATCATATACAACTAAGGGGCCGCCCACCCGCCGTCTCGCATATAGGCGGCTGCACCGCCCCTACTCCTGGGGGTCCCTGGGCGGCCATAGCGTATCTCTGGGATTGTCCAGGGCTTCAATGACGGCCCAGGAAGCCCACCCAGGCCACCAAGATAGCCCAGAATCGCTCCAAGGCGGACCAAGATGGCTTCCAGACAGCCCAAAAGGCCTCCATCACGCCCCAAGAGGCCTCCAAGAGCCCTACCAAGAGACATCATATACAAGGAATGTCATAGACACGGGCGATCATGTACAAGAACTTAATATAGAGGAAGTATCATATACAAGGACCACCAGTATCATATACAAGGACCAAGTATCATAGACAAGGTTATCCAAGAACACCCCGACAATATGTCTCACATAAGATCTTTCGACATCCCATTTTTCAGAGGATGTCTCATGCGAAACGGCCGTTTTTTTAAGTTCCGAAGATTAGGCCAGCGATTTCAATATCCCGATGGTTTGAGGATGTCTCAGGCGAAACGCTCATGCTTAACATAAGACGTCTTAAGACACGACCCCCAAGTTCACGATTTGGCGAGGACGTCTCAAGCGAAACGCTCGTTTTGGGAACCCGCCAGGCTCTGAATCACGAGGCGGCGCCGCACGTTCCCCCTCCAGACCTCCCCCAATTGATAAGTACATCCATCTGGGCAAACAGACGACCATCCCGCGACTCTGCGAGTCTTGGCGCGCTTCCCGTCATAATCCCTCTCCTTCCCCATCCTGCAAGTACTACCCCTACTCCTCAGTCAACTCTCCAGCTCCAGAAAGTCTGGCATTGAGCAATTCTGGCCACATACCCTAATGCTCCAAGTGCATCGTTTCTCAAATCTCTGCAGCCCTAGATCCCTCGAGCTCTTGCCAAGGAATCCGCCAGCCCCATCTTAGAGGCTCAAAACAGCACATGGCAAGGCTCAATGCCTGAGTCTGCCTTGCAACAGATCCACATCCGTCGCGCTGCTGTCCAGAGCGGGAGTCGTCTCCCCATGCTCGTCCTCAAATTAGAAAGGAGAGGGATGCGGGGGCTTCTGGTTCCTCCTGCTCCCTCCCCCTTCTTCCTTGCCGCTTCTCTCAAACTCCCTCCTTCCATCCCTCCTCCCTGCTCATGCTCAAGCTCCTCTTCCCCGAAGCATTGCAACACAATACATTATGGAGGGGCATCGGCGGAACTTGGCGCCCAGCTCCACGTGTCGAAAATGCTTCACGCGGCCGCCGCACGTCTGGCTGCGAAACGGTCAACACTTCCAAAAACGGACTCATCATGAGCAGTGAAATGTCAACTGCCGGGCGAGGAGCGCGAAGAGAGGATAACTTGACGGCTTTATGTGCGGAGGGGGGGGCGATCGCAAATACCAAGATACTTCCCACTTCCAGCTAAACTCAGGAGATACCCGAGGCAAGAGTGACCCTTGGTGAGTGGAACAAGGGGGCGCAAAGTAGCCAAATCCAAGAACGTAAGCAGCCGCTGTCGTATCGCGCTCAGCGATCTGGGGGTCCCGATTAGCCCGCGCCACAGGCCAATCCGGCGAAGGGTCACTCTTACGTATAGCCGACCATTCATGCCTCGGAACGAAGTCAACCACGACGTCATGGCAGTCGTCCCCGTGAGCAGGGCAGGACAGACGAGCGGGTTGAGGGCGAGAGGTGAAGTCCAACATGCACGACTGAAGGCGCCCAGGGAGACAAATAAATACACATAAACCCCAGGGTTCCCAACATGTTCCCATATGTTCTGGAGTTCGTCTTCCCCTTTCCAATATTATTTTTCTTGGAGTCGACAATTGATATTGTCTGTGTGTTCTTGTCTCCTGATGAGTAAAGGGATTGGCGGCCTGAGAAACCCCCACCAAAGTCGCGAACCCTGAACGTTTCACGAGGAATACAATTCCTCGTCTCGACAACCAGGGGCACTGCGAGGAGGGGATCGCTAGTAGTAGTGAGAATAAGCTCGCCTCAACATTAGAACAATGAGCCCACTGCTCGTTTATCTGTCTTCGGTCCGACTTTCAAGAAGCCCAGTGCGAACTAACATACAATCAACCTCGCCACCTACGCAAGAAACAACACCACCTCCAAGTTTGACAGGGGCAACCGGGGTAACCACACGTGCGGACAGGAAACGCTCACTTCCTGACTCTGCAACCGTGGGCAACTGAATGCGCAAAAACACACACACAAACACACGGGTTCCTCTGAACTCGGGATCAAAATAACTGGCACGAAATACCGCCAAGAGAACACCATGCTCGACAGCAGGCAAGGGAACGAACGGCGAGGGGTGACATCCTTCGCCACCACTGTCCCTCCCCCCTCCCATCCCCCTCCAATTCTCCCCCGACGTCGTCACTAGAAGAAAAACACAGCATCAACATAAACTGTTGGCAATCCGTGCGGATTTCTTGGATCCGAGCTGGACACCTCCCCCTGGCACGCGCAGCGCGCCAAAGGCGGCGCTAAGCTTCTTCGAGTCCCCCTCCAATGCTCCCCCGACGTCGCCATGGCCACCGCAATAACAAACAAACAGATGGCGCACTAATTTCAGGTCAGGCATGTCCTCCTACAGGCGGCTGTTAAAGAGGAACAAGAAACAAACAATCAAACATATACCCACAAATGGTCAAACAAAAAACAACACAAATCGTCCCCATACTATGTTTGGCCTGTTCTGGGAATGTTCCTCCTGTAAAGGAACACGCCCGACTGAACACGAATTGTGGACCAATGTCCGTCACGGGGGGCTACAGCGTCAAAAGGCCGTAGTAGCCGTTCTCGGTCCCGGTGGCCTCTCGCTCCTGGGCGGCAGCTCCCTCGCCCCGATATATCGCTGCTGCTGGTGAGAAGCAGAACGAGAGGACGGAGGACGAGAGAGAGGAGGAATCGGGATCCACAAAAGCTGGGGCGACCCTGAGAAGGGCACGAGCTCGATCCGCTTGTGCACCGAACTGCCGCAAACACTGCTCCCGCATGTCCCACCTATCCGCAAGTATCTGGAGCTGCCGGCGGCTGGGGGTGGGGGGGCATCTGTTTTGGGCGGTTCGGTACGAAAACGATCGAACTCACACGCACCCTGGGGCACGCCGCCACGCCCACTCCCGAAGGAAGGACCAGGAACGGAGGGAGAAGAGAGGAAGAGGGAACAGAAGAGCAGAGGCAAGGAGGGAGGAGCGGAGGCGAAGAGAGAGAGAGAGAGAGAGAGGGGAAGAGAAAGAGAGAAAAACGACCTGGAACAAGGAGAGGATGCCTGCCAGCACGGATTCCGAGGCTTGCCCTGTCTGCGCCGGTGAGCATACTGCGGGCCTGTGCTCCGGAGGTCGGGGCCCCTTCTGCTCGCTGCCGCGGGGCCGTGCTCTCCGCAGGACCCCCTGCTTGCCCTCGCCCCCCGAGCGGCTTGCGCACGGCCCTGCCCTCGCCTGTGCAGAGTAGGACAACACGACAAGACCAGGGACAGAAGGGCATCCTTCAAGAGCACGAGACCCTCAGATGGCCCAGCTGAAACATCCGAGGGTCCAGGGTGCCCTCCACGAACGTGCACGAGAACATCCACCGAACACGGAGGGCGTGGAGGTACCCTCTCCGAACCGGCCTCGATCCTACACCTCGGTCCGACCGTATATGGGGTCCAGTATATGCGGCACTATTGTAAAATCTACGCAGCGCATCCCATGTAATGCAATCGTGTGGTCGACACGGCAGGTTCGTTTCGTGACGAATTGGGCGTTGGTGCCTGACACTGCAGGAATCGTGCCCTCTTGAATGGTCGGCCGTTTCCGAAACGTCAGATCGCTCAACATCGATCAATTCTGGATCGCCGGCGGCGTTCAACGTTGAACGCCGGCGGCGAGATCGCCGCCAATTGAAACGACGCGGACCAACCGTATGTATGGTGCAAGATCTATGGTGCAACCCCTCTACGGCAGCATTCGATGAGCAACATGCTTGGCACGGTTGAGCGAGGTGCAGTACAAGTGGTATAGTCTGAGTAGTGCAACCCACACGGTAAATTCGTGCGGTGCAACCAGCGTGGTGCTGCGCATGCGATTCAATCTGCGCGTTGCAAACTGTGTGGTGTGACCGGTGCACAGCAGCCGCCCACCACAATCGGAAGCTGGGCGAGGGCGGCCAAAACCGTGGCTGCTAAAACGGAGGGAAAAAACAAACTTCCCAGAATGAGGCGCTCTGCACGCGAAACAATCCACGGGCTTCTTCCCGCAAGGACGCAGACATCTTCCCGGAGGTCGACTTCAGCAGCCACGGATCTCGCGGCCCCTGCCCGGCTTCCGACACAGGGAGCCCACCACGAGCCGAAGACCTCCTCCCCGCCCTGGGGCACGGTGGGGCACCGAGGGAGCCTGCCACAGAACGCCACGGACGCCCACGGGTGGCCACGAGAGCCGACGACAATCCAGCCTGGCCCTTCAGCTCATTAACAAGAACAACCACCATTCCACACACGAAATGGACTGCGAGAAAATGCAGGCCCTACTGACCGCAATAAGTCATTGGAGCTCACCCCAAAAATTTGGAAACTGACTATCCGTTCGGCGACCTTGTTGACGAACGAGGGCCCCACCGCAAGGGCGCACAACAACGAGGACGACGACTACGACCACGATTACGACTACGACCACGATACGACTACGACTACGGCTACGACGACGACGACTACTACTACGATGACCAATACTACTAATGCGCCTTCGGCGACAAATGTGTCGATGTGTATTGCCATCTTCTTACAAACGTTCTGAAACTCACTCTGTCGCGCAGGGTAGCCCGGGGATCATTATTCGAGGAGAAGGAAGTCCCAAACATTAACCATCGTGGCGAACATGAGTGGGAAACTGATCGGTGACCCGCGATGCGGGCGCCGACGACGAGATGTAGATGCATATTACTGTACATGTGTTGGCATAGTTTGCATTCGGTGTCGCAAACTAGGACGAGATGAAGGGAAAGCGTGTGAGCAACGCACTCGGGTACGAAGGTGCCGATCTGTATTGGAATCCTCGCGCAAACGTGCTCGACATTCTGGTCGTGTAGGGTGGCCCGGGGAGCATTCGGGTCGGGCGAAAGGGGGGGATGCAAAGGGGGGTGAGAATCAGCTCACGTAGCTGATTTTCCTGGCGCCTCCCGGCGTGGGGAGGCGCCCATGTATCGAGAAATGGGCCCCTCGCTGAGGCCGAAACCAGCTGCATGCAGCAGATTTCGTAACCCCCCCTTTGCCAATCCCCCCCTTTCGCCCGGCCCGAAGCATTACCTCGCTGAGAGAACGAGCCCCCAACATTCTCAAGCACGGCGAAAAGTAGTGGGAAATGGATCGGTGGCCCGCGACGCAGAAGCCGACGACGAGGAGAAACGAGACGAGGAGGAGGATGGGAGAATTGGAAAAGGAGGAGGAGAATCAAGAGGAGGAGGAGGAGAATCAAGAGGAGGAGAATCAAGAGGGGAGAAAGATAGGAAAAGGAGGAGGAGGAGGAGAATCAAGAGGAGGAGGGGCGAGTTTGTTCCCCGCCGAGGCGACAAGGGGGAGGAACCCCCGAACTAAGACCTCCGGAGGGTACTCCCTTGGCGCTTACTCAACATGACTCAAATTCGAATGTTGTAAAACCTGCTGCGGGCGCTATTGCGAGCGGAATGTCCATAGCGAGCTGCAACGCAAGTATTTACCCCGTGATCCCCTCCCACATCTGCAGTGCGTGCGCACATCCACCACCACCTAGTGAACTCCAATATTAAACTAGACAAGCAAGCTCATAATCCGTACCCGCCAAGGAAAGGGGAACTACACTCCAATGCGAACAAATGGCTGTATGGCGCGTGCGAGAGCTGTCGCAACACCACGAAACCTAAATCAGAGCTGGAACCGTGATGCGTAGGTCTACCTCGCAAATTAGCCCGTTGTAGGACCTGGTTGACCCTGGTCATGAGAGAATTGGGCGCGTCGAAAAAATCAGAGCCTGCCTCACGATCTCCAGTGCCTCAGCCATGTTTTTGAACACACACTTCCATTCATAAAAAGTGTGTGACAAGACAACTGGTCACAACTCTGAGACTGTTGCGCACCCGGGCTGCACGCGGCAAACCCATTTAACATGGACGCTGGCCCGTTAGGTTCTCTCCTCGCCTCCGATGTAGACTGAAGACATGGTCTTTATCAACAATACCCTTTTCAACGATGCCATCGACCTGCCAGTCTGGACCGTTATCTCTGGGCGACAAGGCTGTGCCCCAACCCAGGCTGCAGGACACCAGGTTTCTGATGCAGTGAGCCTGGCCCGAACCTTCGCAGACCCAGGCGCCGCTGAAACCCAGCAAACGAAGGATCCCTCGCAGAGGAGGACATACCAGTAGGAGCTCAACCACAAGAAGCTTTCCACAAGAAGCCCAACCCTGAGTTCCCAGGACGTGTGTTGATCTTTGATATGGGAGCGTCGCGCGTTCCATCACAATACCATCGAGACCCAAGAAACCCAGGGCACCATAGTGGGGCGACGAAATCTGTACAGATCCACTGCTTCCTGACCAGGCCCATCCTAAACCCAGCAGCGGCGTCTACGCCACGCCCTCCCGGCTTGGCTCGGGGGGCGTATAGACAGCAACTGGGTTCAGCATGTGCCTGACCAGGGAGCAGTGCGTACATATACATACTTTTATATTTGTATATTTTATGTGTATATATATATGTACACATGCATAGTATCATGTATTGATGTGGCTATATAAAATAATGTAGATACACATATGTAAATATATACATATATATATACATCGGAGGTGAGGGGGTGAGATCGAAGTGGAACGGAGAGCCCCCCTACCGGGAAATCGATTTCGGTTTCGTGTTCGTGCGTGCCGTGCGTGCGGGCGAGGCGAATCTGCGTGGGCGGGCGAGTGAAAGTCTCCTGTGGCTGAGGCGCGGCCCGACCAAATGTTTCCCTTCCGGGCGGCCGGTGGCGCGCGGTGTCCCGCCGGTGTCCCGCTGGTGTCCCGTCGGTTCTCCTGTGGCTGAGGCGCGGCCGGACCAAATGTTTCCCTTCCGGGCGGCCGGTGGCGCGCGGTGTCCCGCCGGTGTCCCGCTGGTGTCCCGTCGGTGTCCCGTCGGTCTCCCGATGATGATGTGGATGATTATGATGATGATGGTGATGATGATGATGGTGATGATGGCGATGATGATGATGCTGTTGGTGTTGTTGATGATGATGATGACGTCGATTGCGAGATCGATTGTGATATCGATAGTGAAATCGACTGTGAGATCGATAGTGAGATCGATTGTGAGATCGATAGTGAGACCGAATGTGAAACCGAATGTGAGATCGATAGTGGGATCGATTGTGAGATCGATAGTGAAATCGATAGTGAGACCGGATGTGAGACCGAATGTGAGATCGACTGTGAGATCGATTGTAAGATCGATTGTGAGATCGATAGTGAGACCGAATGTGAGACCGAATTTGAGATCGACTGTGAGATCGATTGTGAGATCGACTGTGAGATCGACAGTGATATCGACTGTGAGACCGAATGTGAGATCGATTATGAGGTCGATTGTGAGATCGATAGTGAGATCGATAGCGAGATCGATAGTGATATCGATAATGAACGAATGTGATATCGACCTACCATGTCCTCGGGATCCCGGCAATACCCTGGCCCCGGATACTGACGGTTTCGTTCCAACCGCGCGCCGAGGCAAAGGGCGCGCTGGACCATCGCTACTGTGCGAGATCCACCTTGGGACCTCCTTCCCTCGAAATCTGGAGCCATTTGGCGCCGTGGCGTTCGCCCCCCTTCG